GCAGGAATGGGTGTGACAAAACATGGACACGTGTCAGAAAGGGAAGAAAAGTGGATGACTAGTTGCAGGGGTCTAGCTCTAGCCGTCACGTCACTCTGACACGCTTTTCACCACACTCACGTTAGCCACGTCAGCGCGTGTGTGCAACTTGGTCCTCTCCGAACTGTGCAGGGACGCGTGGCACTCTCCCAGTGCGTCAAAGGAAAAGCGCAACTTGCATGGGGCCCACCACCGGATCCTCCTCTATTCTGATATGCTGCCGTGTTGTCCGGAGATTCCTTGGATTTTTGTCTGCCCCCGAACCACCCTCTGCCGTTCGATCTTCTATATCTGTCACTCAACTTGCTCTTAAAAATTTCATGAGACAAAGAAAAAGAGAAAGTAAGCAACATAATATGATATGCCATTATGGTTGTGACTACCCTCCCACCCTTGCTTTGCTGGCCTCCTTTCCTCTCTCATCTCATTTTTCCCACTTCCTAACTAATTTCTTTTTATAATTGTCTAATTATACAAAATATTTATAATAACTAATACATTATCCATTTTTTTATTCCTTTACAATATTTAAACATCAGACTTATGATAAATAGATTAAATTCAATATTATTTAGATTAATAATTTATTAGCCGTTTATTTTTTTATTTATATTGTTGATATAAAATATTAATTTTATTGATAACTAATTTTTGACAAAAAATTTAGTTAATTATTTTTAGTAAAGTCTCATCTTTTATTTATATTTTTTAAATATAAAACTCAAACTCAATATATTATTTATAATGATTGAGATTATTACAAATTACATCAATAACTTGTTGATTTTGGTTATTAATTATACTATGGTGCATTTTATTTTATTTTCTTATTTTTTCCTTGATATATATAAGTTCAAGAAAAAAGTTCTTTTTTAAAGTTTATGAAAATGAAAATTTTTATTTTTATTTTCATTATCACATCGGGTGTTGTTTAAAGGTGTTGGACGTGATGCTCTACTTCATTAATGTCAGGTATGAGATTGGTAGCACTAACATGAGTTAGAGTAGAAATCCTTAACTTTGTCATGTCGAGTGTGGGTTAAATGACACCAAAATGTAGATGTCTATGAAGCTCTCTAACTTGGTGATCTCATGCCCCAATTAAGTGATGTTGGGTATGATCAAGACAAAAACTCTCTACCTAAGTGATGTTGGGCATCAATGGAGTGACGTCAAACATTAGTCAAACAAAGGCTCTTTACTCAAAATGGGATTGGATGCAGATTTAACAACATCAGGCATGATTATTACCACATGAGCTTTATTTCATTCGCACCAAGCACAAGTAGATTGATGTTGGGCGTGGACAAGTCAAAAAGCTATGTGCCTCAATGATGTCGAGCGTAAGGAGATTAACGTTGTGGGCTACCTATTGAAACTGTGTCAATTTTGTTATACGAGGTTTGAACATGTATAGGCTAATTGAGTCTATTACATATTGTATGTTGATATTTGTTGCTAACTCTTTATACATTGATCTGTGATAATGTATATTGAGGATTGAGTTGTTAAAAAGTTCTATGTTGAAATATTAAGGTGATTGTGTTGAAAATGTTTAAAGCATTAAGTTGTGGTGTGTTAATTGACTTGGGATTAAAGGAGAAATTATTTTTAAAAAGTTGAATATCTCATTATGAGGATATATATAGTGTTGTGATATTTTGCAAATCCAATTGTTGAAAAATCTTCTTGAGAAGTTGACTCAGGAAATGGATTGTTGAATTTCCTCTAAAATTTAATTAATAAGATATGAGAATCAAGTCGAGTTATACTCTTTATAAGCGATCACAATATAAGGTTCAAGTCGAGTTATACTAATTTTAAAGTGACCAAATATCGATTCGTATGAGTCAAATCGAGTCATACGTGTACAAAGGATCAAATCAAGTAAGGTATAAGGTTCATGACCATAATCCCTAATGGAATACTTGAAGGGGCATAGTATTTGAAGGATAATCAACAAATTAGTCACCTATAAGACTTAGTTATGCATGCTTAGGTCGTGATACGCTTACACTTAAGTTATTCTATCCTAACAAAAATACTAGACCTTCCTAGTTTAAATGATGAAATTTGAGAAATCATATTGTTGTGGATTTTAATTCAAATTAGTTAGTGTAAAAAAATTGCGTTGTAATTAGTTTGATAGAGTCAAGCCACTTAAATTGTTCACCTATATTATAAGAGACTTCTTAATTGTAATGCATAACAACATATTTAATTGTTGTGTGGTGCATATGTTGTTGGATTGACGAATGGTGTTGTTCTCACATTATGTTGTTGTTTGGGTGAGTTGTAGTGTTGTGGTGTTGTTCAAGTTGAATGATGTGTTGTATTATTCATATGCCATGTTGATATGTGACAGTTATATGATAGTGTTATATGTAGACAATTGATTGTGTTGTGTAGTTGAGTTGTAAGTGGATAAATGTTGAGGCAAGTTGAGTTGTTTGTATTGATAATATAGTTGCATTTTCTTGTATACTTGATATGTTGATTATCTTTGAAGGTTAGCTTACCTTGCATGTTTCCTTGTGATTGAATTGCAATAATTATATTTGATATGAGAGAAAAATAGGTATAGATAAGAGGAATATTTTTTAGACCATGCTGATAGATGTTGGTGTAAATATTCTTTTGGCCTACTCTTATGTAGTTGGTTGGTAGACGTTGCTAACTAGGATTGTCATACTTTCAATTGGGATTATTATAGATGTGTGTGTATGTATATATATACATACATGATTTTGAGGTGTAGTTCCAAGAAGAAGTTTTTATGTTTTCAAGATATATTTCTTTTATATATATATAT